TGTGAGTACATGAGTACAGGAAATGAGTTTTGTCATCCCACCCAGTAGCCCTCACAAATGCAGACCTTTGGGGCTATAGGAAACTGATTGGTCTAATAAAGTGCGGGCTTGGAGGGTTTAAATTAATTGGTCCACACCACGTGGGCTCTGGATGCTATGAGATGACTGGTTTAAGATGTGCAGGCTTTGTTGTAACCCTGTAAAAGCTGTCTCAATTCTGTACTTAGGGTCCTCAGTCCTCTACGTGGCACATGACTGTGGACCCCAGTGCACTTGGAATATAAAAGACCTCATTCTTTTACATCAAGACTGCTTCTCTTGAGTGATTTGGGGCCTGAGTAGGAGTGTGAAGGTCCATGTTCTGCAGGTCTTTCAGCAGCATAGACCAAGGCTTTGGAGAGAAAAAGAATAAAAATGGTTTTAAAATGACAGAGTAGCAAGGTGTGGTGGCACACCTTTAATTCCAGCACTCAGGAGACAGAGGTGAGCAAATCTCAGTGATTTCAAAGTAAACCTGTTAAACAGGACAGATAAAAGTTACACAGAGAAACCCTGTCTCAAAAAAATGAAAAAACAAAAGTAGAAGAAAGAGAGTAATAAAACAGCCACGTAAAGATGGAAAGCACAGAGAAACTTTAAACTGTTATCTTTAAATTGTTGATTGCTGAGGAAATAATAACAACTGTTAAAAGAAATGCTGCTAGAGTAATTCAATTTATGTATCAATGAATCTAAAGTAGAGCCTCCTTTGTTTGTTTCAATGGTGATTCTACAGCTCATCAAATTGATATTCAATATTAACAAATGGGAGTGGTATCCCTAAGGTGTTTCCTCTAGGAAACACAGGGATCCTTGAAAATCATGTTACACTCCAACCACAGAATTCCCTGATTCTAAAGCATGGCATTTAGAGGACATTTTAGTAGATTAACACTCTTAAAGAAGCACTAAAGAAGACATATGGAGCTAATGAATTACAAGTCCAAATGCCATTATGGTATCTTTTAACAGCAATCTGGGAAACAGTTGAACAGCTGACAAGCCTTTACCATGCAAAATCCTTAAAGAGTGAGTTTAAAATTTTAAAGAAGAAAATACTATGGAGTTAGCTAGGGGCCCAGAATATGTGAGTGAGAGGTGTCAAGTTTAACAAACACAATGTCTCCAGCAAAATGTCAAACTCTCTGGCAAGAGAGGAAAATAAACCAACTCCTTTTTAGAGAATGCATCATTGTTTCTCCCCAACAAGGATTCACTGTTCTCCTGAGGCTGAAAGAATGTTCACACAGAAAGGTGTCTATGGGTCATGATAGATGGGTCACTTTTCAGCCTTTTGAGCTGAGATACCTACAAGACATACAACATGACTGAACATCAGGTTCTAAGAGAGTAGATTTCAGAAGCCACAAGTCATAGAATGATCCACAATGGGTCATGGACCAGTTTCTAGAAGCAAATCTCCCACCGAGGTTCATATCTAGGCTCCATCTTCTTTCTAATCATGTGATTTAAAAATAATTATGAAGTCTTGACCTACCATAAGCTACTGGTTTATAAAAGGAGGAAAATATATTACATGGGAAGAGTTACACTGTAAAATACTTAGCATGGCATCTGCATCTACTATTGCTTATAAAATTCTAATCCTTATTGAAGTCGTATGACTAATGATAAAGGAAGCTCAAAGCAAAGAGCAGAAGAAAACTAGAGATGCATCTTTAAGGTGTGGTATTCTATCAAATGACACCATCAACATTTCTTCCTGTGGTGGTTTTTACAGTATACCCATAAATCCTTTGACATTCTTCTCACTGGGAGAAAGGTTGTATCACTTCTCCCTTGCAAATAGGTATACCTCTGTGATCATTTCAACTCACAGTCTGTCATCAGTAGAAGTTATTAGTTCTATGTGTCTTACCTACTGGGACTTTCTGACCTGTCATCCTACCTCAAACAGAAGGCTTCAGGTTCCAATGAAAGATGTTGTCACAAGGAGATGAAGAGTAATAGAGGAAGTTATTAAAGGTCTTCCTCTGACCTGGATACATGCATGCATGAGTATGTACATAAGCACACAGATGAATAATAAATTCCCTATATGACTGCTCTAGCCTTAAGTCATCATACACAGTTGATTGACTAATTAACAACAAGAGGGCATGCGTAGCAAGTACTTGGGTACTCATTTCCTACCCACAAACTCATTTCATTCTCAAGTTCACTAGAGGAAAGGATGTTGTTATTCTCATTTTAGTTCATGAGAAAAAATAGATTGTCCTGGCTTATGGGTTCAATAAGGAGCATTCTTGCCTCTACTTCTTTTTTCATTTTTTATGCTATATCACAGTCAACACCAGGAGTGGTAAACATGAGAATAGCAAGAAAAACACACAGGCTTTTACACACATGGAAGAATGAAAATGAAAATAGATCAATCAACTCTGAGGTACACAGGATCCAGCCTCTACTGAAACAGTATTGCTTGAGAAACAGAAATATCTAGGAATAAACCCAGTGGCTGGTTGAAGGCACATAATTAGAAGACGAAAGGCATATGAACTGAAAGAGCTGATAGCTCTGTCATCAGCTAGCTCTGTTGACAACATGTAAGTCATTATGGTAGTTTTCAGAAATACTTGTCAGACTTAGTAGAAGTTTAAGGATGAACACAGATTACAGAACTGTCCTTGGAAACATGGCACTGTCCACTGACAATATGTCAGCATTCAACATGAAAAAGTGCTAGGATGAAGGTGAACTTCTATTTTGACCACAGTGACTGACATTTCTAGTTTATTTCTTTGGCTTTTTTGGAAAATCCTTTCCCTTCACCAAGGAGACATGCATCGTTAATGAGCATGTAGCTACAGCAGAACCTCTGGCTCCCTGTGCAGGGAGGAACGTCACTTAAAGTGCATGGCAGCTTTCACATATAGGTGCAAAAGGTCTAAGAAGGACCAAGTGCATCCAGAAGAACCAAGAAGAACATTTTGAAGGTCTAAAAAGTAATGTGACCAACAGGTACAGAAAAAGAGAAGAAAGCAAATGAAGCAAAGCTAATTCACATGTGCAAATTTAAAATACTAGAAAGTAAGGGTCAACATATTAAAGATCTGAATCAGTACAGTGATTTGTGTTTCAAACAATGGTTTTATACCTTCAGAAATGATTTCCAAATAATCCCTCATATCTCACAATCACCTGGTCACATTTTGTTAAATACCTGCAGACATGAGTTTATACTCCCACAAATTCCACACACATTGGATAAGGTATAATAGGTAGGCATTTGGTATATAGTAATCTTAATGACCAATCAAGTTTGTGAATGATGCACAGGGCAGGGAGAATGTCCTTTAGTAACAACAGTAACACAGCTCCAAAGCACTAGTTTATTTTCCTTGAACAGATTCTGTGTTTTTCTGGCTCCCTTGCAGGTACATAGCTAAGGAAGTCTAGAACCTACTAAGTTTTGTAAATAAGACCTCAAAAGAAGTGCAGTATCTCAATGAAGACTTGTCTGGATTGTGTTAGCATGTATGAATTCCTGAGGGGTTTTCTTAAAGGAAATGAAAAGACCCATCCTAGAATTGGGTGGGTACCATTTTCATGAACTAGGTGAAAGGAACCATCCAGCCTAACACAAAAAGCATTTTCTCTGCTCTTGACAATGAATGTGTTTAACTGCATCAAGTTCCTAACACCTTGATTTCTCCACAGTTACAGACAATTACATGAGAGTGTATGACAAAGAAATTTTCTCTCTTACAGTTGCTTTTGTTTGGGTAATTTTTTTTATATTAATCACAACAACAGAAGCAAAATATAACAGCCAACATAACACCCTCCCATTAGGCCAAATAGGTTTGTATTAGACTGGAAATCCTAGGATACTCTCCTTATAATTGCTTTTTTAAGATCTTCTTTCTTGACACTATATTTTTATATAAGTACATCTCCATCACTTAATAAGCCTCCACTCCATGTGGCATACAGATGGCACTATCAGCATCATTAATAAATCCATTCATGGGGCAGATGTTAGGACTTAAAATGTGTTGTGACTTCAGGGTGAATAAAGTCTAATATTCTTTGTTCTAAGAGGCAGCATAAGAAAACTCAGACAGCATTATCTGTATTTATCTAAAACAAATACAAGTTACTGTAACTGAAAGCACACTAAGTGTGCTTAGGCATTAGTCATAGCTTTAATGACATTCATAATGCAAGAATCAGCCTTGGATATTGTCTGCTGAGGCACCTATGAGTTCCAAGAGTGCTCAAGTATCAAAACAGAACCTACCAAGTCTGAATTCTTATTTAACCTTCTTGTTAGCAAGCACTTGTCTAACTCATTTACACAATAAGACTCAGAAAAAACAGGAAATGAGCATGGGTGTGTGTGTATGTGTGTGTGTGTGTGTGTGTGTGTGTGTGTGTGTGTGTGTATTTGTGTGTGTACACATGCACTCATATACATGCTCATGAATATTTTCAGAGTAGATATACACATGAAAAAAAAAGGAAGTTGAGTCTGGCAGGTACATTACAGGAAGATGGGTAAGAATGGCAAGATTCCAAAGATTCATTAAGAAAGGAAGTACATTCTAGGAAGAAAATGGACTAAGATATGAAATCCCAAAGGATGGCTTTTGATAGAAACAAAATTCTAGTTCTGTATTGCTGAGAGGTAAAAAGAATGAATAGTGGAGCTCTATTTCTGAGTGAGCCATTTATACAACAGTTTAAAGAACTGAGTTCCCAGGATGAAAACAAGATATGGAAACCTGAGCATTTCTTAATGGAAGACACAAAAAAAAAAAAAAAAAAAAACAGGTTACATCAGTTATGAGTTATGTTTCTGTTGAGTATGTCTTCTTATCCCTGTTTATCAGTAGAGAAAATGAGATACAATGAGATTAAAAGTCTTAGCCTTTTTGCTTTCAGGAAGCATCTGTAGAGATTCTGAGTAGCCTCTTCTTCCAAATCCCACCCCTTACCTCACACTTCTCCACAGCTGGCTGCTGCCCACACTCAGAGCTGTTGCCAGCCACAATGCCAGCCCGTAGGTTCTCACTGTCCCCTGTTCCCTCTTCCATGGAGTAGGTCTTGGAGTGGTTCCCACGGTGGTGAACAGGGACCTGACCTTGGGCCAGGCTGAGCTGCCTGCGCAGAGATTGATTTTCCTCCTCCACCTCTCGAACTCGAATCTCTAGGCTCTCCCGCTCCCTCTGGCTGGAGGCAGGGTACCTGGGACTGTGGGCTTGGGACTCCAGAGGAGATAGAGACACCGGCTTACCATCTAGGGAAGGAGAGACCAAGAAGGTGTTAGTGTAACAAACTTCTCTGGGAAACCCAGCATTACCTCCCCCTAGACCCTTGCCACAATTCCACTGTGTAGCAGGGAAAGCATGTTGACAGTTAATGACAAGTGAAAGCACCCATGTTGAAATGGGAAAAAAGTAAGATCAGAATGGCATATTATTGTAATAAAAATCAAGATACTGTTTTAGAGAAATACAGTCCTAATACTGTTCCTAGTTAAACACAATGCCAACTTCTCCATAGGATATATTTTCAAGTAGACATTCTTAACTCAAATAACACATATGGATAAGGATGAATGGAAAGTATGAGATGGAGAGCTTGAGAATGTAGAAGAGCTCAAAAAGAAAAGAGAAGAATAAAGTGAAGTTCTTCCTAAGTAAACTCCTAAGCCACCTTCCAAACCCTGGGTTGAAAGCATTACCTCCCAAGGGAAGCGTTCCTCTGACTGTATTTTGTCATTAATATGATTTCAAGGCTGACCACTGGGTAATTTTTATAATCTGAAAAAATCACTTTCCCAAGGCAACTAGTATTTCTCTTTGCATAAGGTCAATATCCAATACATGCTGAATATTAGGAGTGTCAGAGAAACAAGACTCACTCAAAGCTGCTACTCCTCTTTCTTTGTTTCCACTCTGCTGATATCCCAGGATCAGGATCCAGCTAGAGAGCAGCTATCTCAGAGGTTTCCAATCCATACTGTCATGACTAGAGAATGAAAATCTCCCTAGCTTGCTAAAATGCACTTCTCTTTGTCTATAAACCCAAGATGTCCTACTTGGAACTGAAACTAGGCTGAGGTTCCATGCTGTGTGCCTCACAGTTTGAGGATCAAAGTTGGGGATATGTGTTTCACCTGTGCTGTCCATGCTGAGTCGCCTCTGCTAAGGGCATTTGATGTTGTTTACAGATAATCCTATTTATTTAGCCCCAAATCACTTTAGGGTTAGCTGCTTACACTCCTGATCATATCGTGCAATAACCAAGGGTTACTGAATTACTCTGCTCTGAACTACAAATCAAAGATTTAGGCAGAAACAGCAAGGGACATGAAATCACAGGTGGATGTGGGGTGCACTGTAACTGGGCAGGTTAATTATAAGCTCACTCCCCAGCTTTTGAAATCATGCTCTGTGTCTGGTTCCACAAAGAGAATTAAACAGTACAGGACTAGGGCTGTAGCTTGGTGGAGAGAGAGCTTATTGACAAGTATGAGGCCTTTGATGCACCTATTGATGACAAGTGCATCCTCCTTTGATGTACCTATCCTTGTTGAATAAACAAAACTTAGGAGAATCAAGAGTTCAAGGTCATTCTCAAACACAGAGAGTTTGAGCTCCAGTCTTAAAATATATGGTAGAATGCAGAAAAATAGCTTAGTGAACATGGAGCTTAGAGTAGGGTAGACAAAGATGAACATCTCCTTAACATGAAAAATCAGACTTCTAAGGCATGCAGTAAGTGTCGGGTGTTTCTTGCAGATTACATTCTATGAATACTTGGTGCCTTAATTATCAGAGCACATGCCTATACAGACAAGGAGAGTGACACCATTAAAGTTCACAGTAGAACAAATAGAAAAGCTCTCCTTGATGCCATAAGGGATATGATTTTCAGAACTCATGAAGCTCTGAAGACCCAAGCTCCTGAGGGATTCTGGAAACTTAACAAAAGAACCTAACAGTTTACTTCAATGCTCTGAACTTCTAATCCCTTCTGTGAAACCAGAACATAAATGATAGCATAGCAATAAGGTTGAAGGCTTGAAAAAGAGATCAAAGGAAAAAAAAAAATAAAAGGCAGTTCCTCTAACTAGAAAGCACCTGGCACCTGCCAGGTGGCACATAGGTGTTCCTATAACCCTCATCCCAAAAAGGGTTAGATAGGGTTGCACATAGAATTTAACATGTTAAAAACAGCAAATGTGCTAAGCATAGGACTACAGTGTAAAAGCAGGTTTGGCTTCCTCTGACATAATTTTGAAACAGGGCATCATCCATCATTACACCCCTTGCCTTCACTGTGTCAAGTTGCACACATACAAAAATACAGAAGGCATGCACAGTAGCAGTGACCTTCCCTATCCTCTTGCTCCTTTTCTCACAGCCCACAAGCCTGTTTATAAAAATCACAATCTTTAATCATGTGCTTATGGAAAATGGCATTACTGTTGAATTCATTTTGAGCCTGATCTGGGCCCCATTTGGTTTAAACTAAACTTAGTTCACAAACATTTGCATATGTTTTCTGGCTTTATAGGAACCTACCAATTTGTTCACTATAAGTACATAGAAAAGAAACATGCAATCCTTTGTGACACCTAAAAGGGTGAAAATAATATTGTTCCTGGAGTCTGGAAAGTAAGATGTGCCAATAGTAGACATAAGTGCCATTTCTAGTCTGTTTTGAAGCCCAAGTCCCTGACCTGTCCAACTACTTTCTTCTTTTGACAAGGAGGGAAGCTGAGGGTGGTGGCTCACACCTTTAATTCCAGCACAGATATGGAAGATCTCCTGGAGTTTGAGGAACAGCCTGGTCTATGCAGTGATATGTAGGATTGCCACAGATACATAGTAAGGCTCTGCCTTGAAAAAACCAAAAACAAAGCAACAAAAAATAAAAGAGGGAGGGAAGGAGGGGGAATAGAAAAAAGAAAGGAAGGGAGAGAGGAAGGGAGGAAGGGGAGGGAGGGAAGAAATGCAGACCTCTCCCTGTACTCTGGCTTCCTGTAAAGAGGAGCCCTGCAGTAATCTGCCTGTCTAATTCCATCACTGAGCAACTAGATATGAGGATATGAGTGCTAGGAAGCCTCATTGCTCTGCCATGCTCTTTTTGTTTGTTTGTTTTTCAAAAAGGGGTTTCTCTGTATCGCTTTGGAGGCTGTCCTGTAACTAGCTCTGTAGACTAGGCTGGCCTCAAACTCACAGAGATCTACCTGCCTCTGTCTCCCAAGTGCTAGGATTAAAGGCATGCACCACCAATGTCTGTCCAACCTGCTCCCTTTTATTTGGACTATTTTATTTGTTCCTGATGTGTTGGTTCCTAATTTTCTTCATAGAGCTTCACCAGACCCTTCGTAACAACAGTAAAGGACAAGTCGCAGCCTTGTAGTCATAGACTTCTCTTCCAGTATGTCTTCTGGGTTAGAGTCTATCATCGATTCTTCCATAGTCTAACTAAACAATTGTGATGTCAGATTTTCTTAAGCTATCAGTTATAATGACCTACCTATTCCACCTGCTATCCAACAAGTACAGTCTTATCCCTAATACCTTTTCATGGTATAGAGCTGACGCGCATACAAATGCTTACTCCACCTAAATAAGTCCATGTATACCATGTTCAACAGGATAAGTCTATGGATCACATGCTTGAAGTGTCCCTGAAGTCTATTTTGCAATATTTTAATTGCCTAGTCTAGAGTTCACACATATTTGTTGCAAGTACCTGCTTGGTGACAAAGCTTGTCAATTTTATGTGTCAACTTGACTGGGGCATGAAGTTCCCACACATTTGGTGTTTCAATGATTGCAGTTTTAAAAAATGATATAAACATTTGTATCAGTCTAGTGAATAAAGAAAAAAATCCTTCTCCAAGGTGGGTGAACCTCATCTAATTAGTAAAAAAAAAGTAAGGAGACTGGTTAGAACAGGAAGACCTACTATTTCTCTGAGGAAAATAGTTGCCTGGCAACTTCTGTGCCTGAACTTCAGATGTCTTCCGCTTATACATTCAACAGAAGGAACTAAAACACTTTCTCTGCAAGGTTTCTAGGCTGGTGGCATGTGGTCTGGACTGCTCCACTGCCTCTCCTTGACCACAGGCCTCCAGATTGCAATGGCAGCTATGTGCTAGCTCATCTTAAGCTTGAACTTCCAGTTTGCTGACCCACATGCATATCTGCCAGGAGCTTTATCAGTTTAGTCAATCATGTACTCTCTCTCCCTCCCTCCCTCCCTCCCTCCCTCCCTCCCTCTCTCTCCCTCTCTCTCTGCCAGTGTGTGTGTGTGTGTGTGTGTGTGTGTGTGTGTGTGTGTGTGCAGGCACTCTCATGTAAGTGTTCCAGTTTGCTGACCCACATGCATATCTGCCAGGAGCTTTATCAGTTTAGTCAATCATGTACTCTCTCTTCCTCCCTCCCTCCCTCCCTCCCTCCCTCCCTCCCTCCCTTCCTCCCTCTCTCTCTCTCTCCCATCTCTCTCCCTCTCTCTCTGCCCGTGTGTGTGTGTGTGTGTGTGTGTGTGTGTGTGTGTGTGTGTGTGTAGGCACTCTCATGTAAGTGTGTCCATGAACATACCCGTACACAGTTCTGCTTCTCTGGAGTCCCCTGACTAATACAAGGATCCTAATGATCTACAAGTACCACCCTGGATGATACTGCCTGACACTAGTCTCTAGCTGCAAGCCCTGACACCTTTGCTGCACTTAACAGGGGTGTGAAGAAGAGACAGAGGGAAGGGCATGTAAATATTTAGAAAGCTATGATAAACACAAGCCCAATCTATCTCAAACTACATGTTATTTAATGAGAAATTATAATAGTTTATAGTGAAGGAAGAGGGACAGAAAACTGAGACCATCAGAAACATTAAAGGAAGTTGAGAACATGGCATTAAGAATAATTGAGCTTAAACTATGGCCTTCTGTTTAGTAGTTAACAGACTTATCCAAACTAACTATATATATATATATATATATATATATATATATATATATGAGAAACAGCTGAGAACATGAAATGTCTTTCTTTCCTCTTTGTTTCCCTTTGTTCCATGTAGCCCTTCACCCACATTCTGTTGTTTCATTATGCAATCTTTTATACACACAGAACATCTTTGTATAACATACTATGCACATGTGTTCATCTAGATCAGCCCACTTTAAGTTAGAAGTGTCAAACAAGACATTTTTCAAAACCCCAGTTGACAACCACTTTCTCTACCCTCCAGAAGTTGTGAATAATCAAGAACTTG